TGCTTCTATACAATTTGCAAATTCATGGCCCAGCATATTCCCAACTTTACCATTACTGTCAAGCCAGGGGATAAACCCTGGTTCAATGGAGACTGCAGGAGGAAGGAATGCCAAGAACACACCAGGTGCAACTAAAAATGAGGTGCCAATTTGGTGAAGCTACCAAATAGAACTAATTTCATGTCAAACAGTATAAATGACAAGTGACATTCACAACTTAGTGATCCCAGAACCAATGGATCAGATTTAAGCTCTGCATGTCCTGCCACATCCAGTTGTGAATGGTGACAGACAATTAAACAACTCACTGGAGGAGGGGTATTCACAACAATCTTCAGCCAGACATGCTAAGTGGATGATCTGTTTCAGCCCCCTCCAGTAGTCCCCAGCATCACAGTTTCCAGGCGTCAGCCAATTAGATACCAGATACTTCAAAGGCTATGGGCCCTGACAACATTCCAGCAATAGTACTGAGGACCTGAGCTTAAGAACTTGCTGCACCCTGAGCCAAGCTGTTCCAGTACAGTGACAACACTGCCATCTACCCGATATTGTGGAAAATTGCCCAGATTTGTCCTACACGTAAAAAGCAGGACAAATCCAACCAAGCCAATTACTGTACCAAAAGTCTACTCTTGATCATCAGTAAAGTGATGGAAGGTATCATCAACAGCGCTATTAAGCAGAACCTGCTCAGCAATAACCTGCTCAGTGATGACCAGCTTGGGTTCTGCCAGGGCCACTCAGCTCCTGATCTCATTACAGCCTTGGTTCAAACATGAACAAAAGAGCTGAATATCAGAGGTGAGGTGAGAGTGACAGCCCTTGACATTAGCACCACTTTTGACTGATAAGCTCCAACAAAACTGGTATCAATGGGTATCGGGGGCAAACTCTCCACTTTGGGAGTCATACCTGGCAAATAGGGAGATGTTTGTGGTTATCAGAGGTCAGTCATCTCAGCTCCAGGACATCTCTGCAGGAGTTCCTTAGTGTAGTGTCCTAGACCCAACCATCTTTAGCTGGTTCATCAATGACCTTCCCACCATCATGAGGTCAGAAGTGGAGATGTTTGCCGATGACTGCGCAATGTTCAGCACCATTTGCGACTCCTCAGATGCTGAAATGATCTATGTCCAAATGCAACAAAATCTGAACAATGTCCAGGCTTGGGCTGAAAAGTGGCAAGTAATACTCCCACTATAGAAATGTCTGGAAGTGACCATCTCTGATAAGAGACAATCTAAACACTGCCCCTTGACATTCAATAGTGTTACCATCACTGAATCCCCCATTATCAACATCCTGGGCAATACCATCGACCAGAAACTGACTGGACTCACCATATAAATACAGTGGCTACAAGAGCAGGTCAAGGCTAGGAATACCGCAGTGACCTCCTGACTCCCAAAAGCCTGTCCATTGTCTACAAGACACAAGTCAGGAATGTGATGGAATACTCCTAACAATCGGGAGATCCCAAGCTGGTGTAGGTATCAAAGTAAGTGGAAGCTGGAGTTTCCACCCCTCACCAGTTCCCACAAGGAGTTCAGGGAAACAGCAGAGGTCTGGTGCAGCCAAGCCTTTGCTGTATTCCAAGGTATACTTGTGGTCTGCTGGCCTCTCAACAGAATCACTTAGAATTAACTAATCAGACAGCACTTAAGGGGAGCTCTTGTGGTACAAATGTAGCAAAGACTTTTTTCTGAGCCAAAAGCTACCCCAGGACCTGACAAACAAGGGGACTTCAAGAAGGCCTTTGATAAGGTGCCACACAGGAGGCTGCTGAGTAAGATAAAGGCCCACGGTGTTACAGGCAAGGTGCTAGCATGGATAGAAGATTGGCTGTCAGGCAGAAAGCAGAGAGTGGGGATAAAAGGGTCTTTCTCAGGATGGCAGCCGGTGACAAGTGGTGTTCCGCAAGGGTCAGTGTTGGGACCACAACTTTTCACTTTATACATTAATGATCTAGATGAAGGAACTGAGGGTATTCTGGTTAAGTTTGCAGACAATACAAAGATAGGTGAAGGGACAGGTAGTATTGAGGAGGTGGCAAGGCTGCAGGAGGATTTGGACAGGTTAGGAGAGTGGGCAAAGAAGTGGCAGATGGAGTACAACGTGGGAAAGTGTGAGGTCATGCACTTTGGTAAGAAGAATAAAAGCATGGACTATTTTCTAAATGGGGAGAAAATTCAGAAATCTGAAGTGCAAAGAGACTTGGGAGTTCTAGTCCAGGATTCTCTCAAGGTAAACTTGCAGGTTGAGTCAGTAGTCAGGAAGGCAAATGCAGTGTTGGCATTTATTTTGAGAGGACTTGAATATAAAAGCAGGGATGTACTACTGAGGCTTAATAAGGCTCTGGTCAGGCCACATTTGGAATATTGTGCACAGTTTTGGGCCCCTTTTCTCAGGAAGGATGTACTGACCATGGAGCGGGTTCAGAGGAGGTTCATGAGAATGGTCCCAGGAATGAAAAGCTTAACATATGAGGAACGTTTGAGGACTGTGGGACTATACGCATTGGAGTTTAGACGGATGAGGGGGTATCTAATTGAAACTTTCAGAATACTGAATGGCCTGGACAAAGTGGATGTTGGGAAGATGCTTCCATTGGTAGGAGTGTTTAAGACCCAAGGGCACAGCCTTAGAGTAAAGGGAAGACCGTTTAGAACGGAGATAAGGAGAAACTTCTCACCAGAGAGTGGTGAATCTATGGAATTCACTGCCACAGAAGGCTGTGGAGGACAGGTCATTGAGTACATTTAAGACTGAGATAGATAGGTTCTTGATTGTCAAGGGGATCAAGGGTTACGGGGAGAAAGCGGGAGAATGGGTTGAGGAACTTGTCAACCTTGATTGAATGGTGGAGCAGACTCGATGGGCCGAATAGCCTAATTTCGGCTCCTATGTCTTACGGTCTTATGGAACTGCATTCATAATTTGGCCAAACAGGCTGAGTATCAACCTACAAGCCCTTGCAACTCTGCCAATGTCACATGGCAAGCCATGGGATGGAAAGAATGTTGGAGCCTGTGTTATTACTATCCAAAGCTCCAGACCACAACCTCAATGTAAAAATGCACTTTTCCATCTCAACTAAGACTACTGACTAAAATGTAACACACCATCATCATGACTGCACTAAAAAGATGTTATTCACCCCATTCACCCCACTAAATGAGTGTCCAATTAATCCGACTCTCTTAATGGCTTTCCCATTTGGCGCTACAAAAGATTTCTTTTCAGATACAAATACATCTCTCATTTGAAAGTAACAATTGAATGAACTTCGGCCCCTTCCCAGATCTTAATAACACATGTTACTGAAAGCCTTCTCATCTTCCCTTTGATTCTTTTGCTGATTACCATAAGTTTGTGTTCCCTGGTACTGACCCTCTTGCCTTTGGAAGAAATTAGCTCCTTATTTCCATGATCCAAAAACCTTCATCATTTTTGACTTAGATTTCTCTTGATCATCATTATTCTAATGAAAACAATATCAGCTCATCCTGACTCTTCACATTGCTGATGCCTTTCATGTTTGCTCCCAATCGGTTACATCTCCTCCACAACTCTTCAATACCTTGAGATCCCTTTTAATGTCACATCCCCAGAAATGAACACAATCTTCCAGCTGAGCTGTATTCAGTAATTTATTGCTTTAGCAGAATTATGGCACTGAACTGGTAGGAATTAAAGCTACAAACTGCTGTCATCCTCAGCACACCTTGCTGAGCATTTCAGTTACATTAAATTACCATTAATCCTAAGAATGCCGGCAGGCTCAGAAAGAATCCTGGAACATGGCCTGATATACTGTAAAACTGAAATATAACAACAAATGAAACACTTCAAACACAATTTAACTTTAAACTGTAAATACTGAACCACCTTATCTTGCCTATCAGGCCTGTTCCCCTTTTGCTCATTCATCTTTCTTAATGCCCTTTTATCTGAACTTCAGTTCTCTTTTTGCAACCTCATATACCCATATTGAATGTTTAACCTACCTATACTTTTCTGCTTTCATGAATTTGTTACTTGTTCTATCAATGAGATTAATTTTTAAAACACTGTCCTTGACTGGAAAGAAACTTTTAAAGGTCAGTTTTCAAGTCAAAGAAAAATCTAGTTTCTGATGATTAGCATATTTATATCAATAGCAGACTCACTACTCATTCGAACTGTTACTATGTTCTGATGGCACAGTTTAGTTTATTTAATGTGAAGTTCAACTTGTTATGAAGAAGCTCCATTGGTTCAAGAAGCTACATGTTGTGGTGAAGTGTGACTAATAGAATCAGACTCCTTTCTTCAGGATCAATCCTTTTAATACAGTTTAAGGAAAGTCTTCCCTGAGGCCAATGATAGAAGGCTGGATTGTATGTTTTTTTGATGGCTTGAGGGAGATAGAGCAGTGTGTACATTCCACTTACTCCCATCCCTATGCAATCAAGTGATAGAGGGCCAGACAATGGCTGTTTGGAAAGAAGGAAGTTAAGGAGAGTTGTGATGGAGGTATTTCACGACCAATCAGAATTATCGGCCAAGGCATCTGTAGTAATTGCAACCAGATTGACCTCATTAACTATGAGGTTCTTGATTGGGGTTGTTAACCTGGGCCAATCGGGCAAGCCTTGGTGAACCAATATAACCAGGAAATTAGAATCTCCTCAGTTGAGGACTGACTGGTCACACTTGGTGTACTGTGTGAACTAGTGAATTAAAGGATGACTTGGTGATGGGACCTGGCCTTTGTGCCATTATTTCAGTGGTTGGTCCTGGACTTAACTTTTGTGTATGAGTCCTGGACTGAGCTTTTGTGAAAAAACAAAAAAAGGAAGAAAAAGATTATATGACCAGGAGATGAGAATTTCCTCAGTTGAGGACTGACTCTGAGCTGGCTGGCCACAGCCAGAGTACTGTGTGCTGGTATATAAAGGGTGACTTGGTGACAGGAACTGGCTTCTGGGCAGTTATTTCAGTGGCAATGGGAGAAAACAGGATATGCCTGATGAATATTTGCTTGCAACAGTCATCTTGGAGTTGGGGGTAAGCATTTTGGGCATCATGCCTTTATTTGGGAAGCTTGACTCACTTGACCCTGCTATCAAAGACTAGGCCCAGGATGTGGAAAGAATATAATACTCTTTCTGGGCAAATGACATTGGGGCAGATGAAAAGTAATGAGTAATCCTTGTGACTACATGTGGACCTGCAGCAATTTTGGTTATAAGGGGCTTAACTTTCTGAGAGGCACCAGACACTAAAACCTGCCAAGAGTTGAGAGATTGGTAAGGAATATTATGACCCCAAACCTCCTGAGATGCTATTGGCTTTATTTGGCTGTTAGAGAACCAGGGGAATCTGTATTGGGATTTTTGATGAGGTTATGATGAGTGGCACAGGCATGTGATTTTGGGTTAACACTAAATGAGATGCTGAGACCACATTTGGTATGTGGGGTATGTGTAAGTACCTACGAGTTGAAGCCCACCTAGACTGTCTAGTGTTGAGGAAACCTCAGTCTGAAATGGATTCAGCCTCAATACTGTTTCTGCTGGAAGAAGAGGAGTCTCTTCTGAGACGTTCTGGATGCAAGAGATGGGTCACGGTCCGGTACATGCCATCTGTGTTTGAGTCTCTGTCAGAGGAACAGGACCTGGGGTGAAAATGTTGCAAGAGAAGCTACAAGTGAAAGACCAGGCCTACGTAACTGGACTTGGGGGTGGGGGGAATGTAGTGATTGGAACCAGGTGGACCTTGTTAACTGAGGTTCTTGATTGGTCCAGGTTAACAACCCAATCAGGAAAGCCCAGGCTGACCAATATAACCAGGAGATGAGAATCTTCAGTTGAGGACTGACTGAGCTGGCTGGCCACAGCCTGTTTACTGTGCACTGGTAAATAAAGGGTGACTGGGTGATGGGTACTGGCCTTTGTGCAGTTATTTCAGCATCACGTGACAGAGGTAACACCACAAACAGGAAATCTGTCATGGATCTGAGTTTAAAGGCTGTTTGCTCTGAATGATCTACTATTATTGAAAATGCAAATAGCTCAAAATTGTCACTTTTCCCTACAGAATCTGCTGCTACATTCAACAATGGTCGCAGTGGCAGACCTTTTCATCTGACCTTGTGCTGCCTCATCACAACTACCAACAAACACTAATTCATGGTCAAGAGCCGGAGGATGCACGGGGCTTCAAAAAAATTAGGTGATTGGGTCATTAATAAGCTTAATGGCTTGTTAACAATTCCAAATGGCAGGCTGGCTGCCTGTTTCCATGCCTGGTCACCCTGTTATGTTGCCAAACGCATGTCATTATACTCTATTTTACATTTGCATTGTCTCAATCTGACAATCGGTGCTGGATGATCAGAAATGTCCTCTAATTATATACTGTGAAGATTGAAGCCATCGTTTCAGTTCCCCTGTGAACACTGTCCCCTAGCTACCAACTCTGTCCCTTTCCCTGACAACAGTTTGAGATTAAGGCAGTGTTCACAAGCCTGGTGTCACACTCGCTTGTGGTGAACTTCTGACCTCAATTTTGCACCGTCATCAACTCTGCTTATTTCCACCTTGGGAATATTATTCTGTCTCAGCACACGTGTTGCTGAAACCTAATTCATGCCTTTGTTACCTCCTGACTTGCCTAATCCAATGCACACCTGGCTGTCCCCCACACTGTATCCCCCAGAAAATTGAGATCATCCAATACTCTGCTGCCAGTGTCTTAACTCATGCTAAATCCTGTTGTCCCATCTCCCATTCTCCATGATTTACATTGACTACCAGTCAAGCATCATCCTGATTTTAAAATTCTCCTTGTCATTTTCAAATCCCTCCACAACATTGTTCCTTGACATTTCTGACAAATCCCCCAACCTCTCAACCCTCTGAGCTCCTCTAATCCTGGCCTCGTATGCATCCCCAATTTTAATCGCTCCTCCATTTGTAGCTATACTTTCAGTTGCCAAGGGCTGCAACTATAGACTTCCCATGTTGTCCTTCTCCACTAGTTTTCCTCCTTTAAGACAGTTCCCAAAATCTACTTTCTTGACCAAACATTTGGTTATCTGACCTAAAATCACCTTTTATGGCATGGTATCAAATCTTGTTTTATAATGCTCCTGCAAAGCACCTTAGGACATTTACTTATGTTAAAGCAGCTATATAAATATGTTGTTGGTGTCGTTGAATCTCAAATTCACAATAGCACTCCATTGTTACTGACTAATTTATATATTCCACAGCCTCTCTTGAAGCATTTTCCATGTATTACAAGAATATCTTTGAAAAAGGATTGAAATATTTACATATTGCTTGTTCAGAAAACTGCAGAATATGAGTTTCCATTTAGATATTAGTTCAAATTGTCTTGAAGTGCAAGTGCAAATCTAAATATTCATTAGTCTTTCTCTTCTAGGTCCTTCATGAACATTGAAAATTTAGAAACTGTTAAGTTTATAATTAGTTAATAACTGAAGGAGAACAGGGTATTTTGTGATCTGTACAGTATTAAGAACAATATTACTCATAGTTTGATTTTAATCTCTACTTTTCATTTATAAGTGACATTTACCAAGCATGCTAATGCGTGTCAAAAAAACTTGCAGATACAGAGCAATCAGATAGGTCTGATCTAACCGGTTGCTTGGAACACTGGGAAAATTAAGAGCACAAGCAGATACCTAACTTCCTTTACGTTAATGCTTACTCCAGCAACCTTATGCAAGGAGTACTTCTCTGCAACCAGAGAAATGGCTCCATTCAATAATGCCAGCCAGGAAAGAGTTACAATTTATGAATTTTGCTGTCCATGTTCTGTGTATGCTCCTTAGCTCAAGACAGAAGATTAACATTCATCTTTGCAAAAATTATAATATGTACTCACCATACAATTCCCTGAGCCCCAGATCCAATGGGCTTTAGATTCTGGTAGCGTTTGAGAACTGTGAAGGTAGAATCACCTACTTCTACGCTGTAGAACTGGTTGTCCACTTTGCTTTTACTCATGTTGTAGTGTTTAGCAATATATGAAACATCCACTTGTTTGCCAAATCCCTGAAATTAAATAGGGGTACTAAATTATTGTATTTCTGACATTAGAACAGCACAGTGCAATTAGAAAAGTAGTCCAGAAATGACCTATTATCCATCCATTATCATAGTACCCTCATAGAATTTTGAAAATTTATTCTCTTAGCAAATAATTGATAAAACACAATAATTAAACAAAATTATCTCCAAGCATGCATCCTCCAAATCCACTACATATTTTTACTTTGACAATTCTGAATTGCCCAAAAGTATATAATAGTCCCAACTCACACCAGTTAACATCTAGTGTATAACACACTTATAAGATCACAACATGTATTGTAAAAGACAGTGACTGGATTAATAGCAAAGCAAAAGTTGAACTTAATCGTGGGAGTGGATGTGAAGCCAGCTAACTTATTATACAGCGAGACAAAATGTGAATTCGAGTTTTCTTTACAATTGAAATACCTTCTCCAATTATTTGTGTTATAATACCAGATATAGTACTTTTGGACAAATTAGGTCCCAGGATAAAATCTGACCTGATGGATCATATGTTTATTTTTTTTTCATTAGTTAACATGGTGATTAGTCACTAAGACACAGTAACACAAGGCTACAGATTTTCTTTAACACCAGAACAGAAGTTTATTACAGGAAAGAAGAAATAATAAAAGAGCCACCTAAATATTGAAGACAGTGAGAATGATCTGTAACATATGACAAAATAAAGTTTCAACCTGTTATCTATCATTATCCATTAGAGACTTCAGTCCAGTGAAACCAGGCCCTGAAGTGCCTTAACTGTAAGTATTGGCTTAACCACCGCCTTTCAGTTTCTTTGCCATGGACAAGTGAGTCAATTTGATGTGTACTTTCCAGGTCCATGATGTGAATATTTCACCAATCTGAAAGTCTCCATTCTAATAACCTGCAGATTTCTAATCAAACTCTCCTGACTTGCAAGCTTTACAAGCTAAACCATTCTGTGTGGTAGAGATAGTAGGAACTGCAGATGCTGGAGAATCTGAGATAACAAGGTGTAGAGCTGGACGAACACAGCAGGCCAAGCAGCATCAGAGAAGCAGGAAGGCTGACGTTTCGGGCCTAGACCCTTCATCAGAAATGGGGGAGGGGAAGGGGGTTCTGAAATGAATAGGGAGAGAGGGGGAGGCGGATAGAAGATGGATAGAGGAGAAGGTAGGTGGAGAGGAAACAGACAGGCTGTAGAGGTGGGGATGGAGCCAGTAAAGGTGTGTGTAGGTGGGGAGTTAGGGAGGGGATAGGTCAGTCCAGGGAGGACGGACAGGTCAAGGGGGCGGGATGAGGTTAGTAGGTAGGAGATGGGGGTGCGGCTTGAGGTGGGAGGAGGGGATAGGTGGGAGGAAGTACAGGTTATGGAGGCAGGGACAAGCTGGGCTGGTTTTGGGATGTGTTGGGGGGAGGGGAGATTTTGAAGCTTGTGAAATCCACATTGATACCAGGGTTCCCAAGCACAATATGAGTTGCTATTCCTGCAACCTTCGGGTGGCATCGTTGTGGCACCCACTCCAACCTCTCCCCCACAGAACGTTCAGCCCTCCGTTCCAATCCCAACCTCTCCAGAAAACCCGCGGACAAGGGAGGTGCAGTTGTAGTATGGCGCACTGACCCCTACATCGCCGAGGCCAGACGCCAACTCTCCGACACCTCCTCCTACCGCCCCCTTGATCATGACCCCACCCCCGAGCACCAAACCATCATCTCCCAAACCATCCACAACCTCATCACCTCAGGTCACCTCCAACCTCATCGTTCCCCAACCCCGCACCGCCCGCTTCTATCTCCTTCCCAAAATCCACAAACGTGAATGCGCTGGTCAACCTATTGTCTCTGCCTGCTCCTGCCCCACCGAACTTATCTCCAACTATCTGGACTCCATTTTCTCCCCCTTGGTCCAGGAACTCCCTACCTATGTCCGTGACACCACGCACGCCCTCCACCTCCTCCAGAACTTCCAATTTCCCGGTCCCCAACACCTCATCTTTACCATGGACGTCCAGTCCCTATACACCTGCATTCCCCGTACAGATGGCCTAAAAGCCCTCCGCTTCTTCCTGTCCCGCATACCCGACCAGACCCCCTCCACTGACACCCTCATCCGCTTAGCTGAACTCATCCTCACCCTCAACAACTTCTCTTTCAATTCCTCCCACTTCCTACAGACAAAGGGGGTGGCCATGGGTACCCGCATGGGCCCAAGCTATGCCTGCCTCTTTGTAGGTTACGTGGAACAATCCCTCTTCCGCACCTACACTGGCCCTAAACCCCACCTCTTCCTCCGTTACATTGATGACTGTATCGGCGCCACCTCGTGCTCCCACGAGGAGCTCGAACAGTTCATCCACTTCACCAACACCTTCCACCCCAACCTTAAGTTCACCTGGACCATCTCTAATACCTCTCTCTCCTTCCTGGACCTCTCTGTCTCCATCTCGGGCAACCACCGAGAAACCGATATCCATTTCAAGCCCACCGACTCCCACAGCTACCAAGAATACTCCTCCTCCCACCCACCTTCCTGCAAAAATGCCATCCCCTATTTCCAATTCCTTCGCCTCTGCCGCATCTGCTCCCAGGATGAGGCATTCCACTCCCGTACATCTCAGATGTTCTCGTTTTTCAAGGACCGCAACCTCCCCCCCTCAGTGGTCGAGAACGCCCTCAACCGTGTCTCCCACATTTCCCGCAACTCATCCCTCACACCCCGTCCCCGCAATGACAACCAAAAAAGAATCCCCCTTGTCCTCACGTACCACCCCACCAACCTCCGGATCCAACGCATAATCCTCCGACACTTCCGCCATCTGCAATCTGACCCCACCACCAAAGACATCTTTCCCTGCCCACCCTTATCTGCTTTCCGGAGGGACAACTCTCTCCGTGACTCCCTTGTCCGCTCCACACTCCCCTCCAGCTCCACCACACCCGGCACTTTTCCTTGCAACCGCAGGAAGTGCTACACCTGCCCCCATACCTCCTCCCTCAC